CCATGCCCGCTCCGTCACCACCTCAGCCATGTCTGGGCAGGCCCGCTTCGCCCACATCGACCCGTCCCGCCGCCCACGCACCAGCCACAGTGTGGTCGTTTCCTCCCCGGCCTTGGACCACCAGGTGTTCGTCCTGCGCCAGCACGCGGTCACCCTCTCCGCGGTGGAGGGGCCTGACGCAGCGAGTCCTCTGATGGTGGGGCACGCTCTCGAGGATCAACTGCGCGTCCCACCGCATCTGTTGCACGTCACGGCACACCACCCGGAGCACTTCTTCGTCTACTTCGAGCTCCCGGCGCTCCGCGACAACGCCGTGGCGAGGGGCTTCGTCACGGTGGATGGAGTGCGCTTCGTCATCAACCCCTGGCATGAAGATGATCATGCGGCGCTGCTCAACCTCTCCCTCCACGTGCGCATCATCGTCGAGAATCTCCCGATGTAATTCTGGTCCTTGGAGGGGGCGGAGGAGGCGCTGGGGAAGATGTGCTGCGTTGACCGCCTCGACAGCAGGACGCGCGAGCGCGACCACACCAAGCTCTTTGCCTGCTGGGTTTGGGTGTGGGATGTGGCGCACATCCCAACAACCCACACCCTGTGGGTGATGAAGCGCGGCGCTGGCCGCATCAAGGAGCTGCTGGGCTACTCCCCCCCCCTCCCTGAGCGCAAGGTGGCGCCGCCGCCCGGCACGCGGCGGTACGACCTCCTCATCCATGTCGACAGGGTGGAGGACTGGGCGCCGCGCCACTCCCATCCCTCTTCCCACTCCGGTCAAAGCGGCATCCCTTCGTTGGACTCCGACGGCGGCGAGCGGCTGCCCTACACCGACTCCGGAGTGTGGTCGACGGGGGTGGAAGACGGGCAGGCGCATGGGCGCAGGAGCGTGCCCCGTGTGCTGTCCTCGGGCTGCCGCGACTTCTCCTCCGGCGATCATCACCGTGACCACGACAACAGCGACCAAGGCGACGGCGGTAATAGGCGGCGTTCCTGGCGCGACACCCTCCTTGGTAGGGGCTGCTCGAGCAAGGGAAAGGAGAAGGATCAAGGCGAGGGATCGTCCAGGTGGCGCAGTAGGACGCCGGTGCCTCGACACCACAGAGGCGCCACGCGGGGACACGGCAACTCCAGGCGTGAGCACGAGCTGGCGGCCCTGTCCTCCACCCCACCCGCCCCGCTGCGTTCGGCAACTCCACCTCCATCGCCCATCCCTGATCATGTCGCTGACTTCCTCGCGGGCCAGTCTGTCCCCACCCCAGCTCGCGTGGACTGCATGCAACTCGAGCTCGACTCCTCCATCAAGGCCACTCTGGCGAAGCCTCTAGAGTTTGGTTCCACCTCTCTGCTCGCCTGCCGGTCCACGCCCTCCTCCGCCGTCCTGGAGGTGCAGGTCAATGCAGTCTCCAGCCAGGTTCAAGCCATGGGGATCGGGGAGGACGAGAACAGGGACCCGCAGCTCCTCTTCACTGGCATGGAGCCTGCGGTCCTTGGCCCTCTCCCGCCCTGCTCCAACCGCCGTTCCTCCACCCCTCCGAAGACACGCGCTGCTCCGACCCCGAGAAGGCAGAGTACCAGGCAGACGGCCTTGCACTCTACCGTGCCGGTGGCGCAGCGGGCTACGCTCAGGCTGATCCAGGAGCTGGGAACCCTGGGCCCAAAGGACAGGATGACAACGAGCGTCATGTCTGCCCTCATCAAGCGTTTCGATGAGCCTCTGTCATACAGTGACATCAAGGCCATCGCCAAGCTCACGGACCTGGACGAAGCTGCTCTTCGCATCGCCGCCACCATGCCTGGCTCTGCTGTTGCGCCCAAGGAGGTCGATGTTTGATTATGTTAGCTTTATCAATAGTTAGGCTCCGCAGACGGCCAGCCTTAAGCTGGTTAGAGTTAGGGATGTTGATGTTGTGCTGTGTTAGTGTTAGTGTAGTGGCTAAGATAGTTAGACGACGACATGATTTTGGGACTATTGGTGGATGTTGCCGCCCCCCTGGTAGTTGGATTGTGTACCACCTGTTTCTTCGTAATATTATTCAGTTTGCAGAGCAATCTAGTTTTCCTGATGAGTAACCACAACCCAACAATTATGTCATGGAATGTTAGAGGCCTTAACGCGCCTGTAAGATGCACTGCTGTAAATGAGGTGGTTTCGGCCAACAAAATAGGCATTCTTTGTCTGCAGGAAACAAAGATCGAGCAGTGGTCTCCGGAGCTGGCCAGAGAGATTGGTGGTTCAACCCTGGAAGGATGTGCAGTTCTGCCTACAGTAGGATCAAGAGGAGGACTGACCATCTTCTGGGACAAGTCAGTTTTGAAATTCAAACACAAGTTGATGGCCAATTCTCTCTGACGGCCAAAGTGACATCGCGATCTTCGACAGACACATATTGGCTCACAAATGTTTATGGCCCGGTGGAGGACACACAAAAAGAAAATTTCTTTCATGAGATGTCTGCCGCTGCTCCTCTGGCTAATCAACCTTGGCTCATTTGTGGAGACTTCAACAACATATATGAGGCCAGGGACAAGAGCAACTGCAAGATCAACAGGCGTATGATGGGGAAGTTTAGAAATGTGATTGATTTCGCGGGCCTAAAGGAAATCAAATGCAAAAACAGAAAGTATACTTGGTCAAATGAGCGAGTTCAGCCAACAATGTGCAGCATTGACAAATTTTTTTGTAACATGACTTGGGAGATGGATCTTCAGGAGTATCTGCTGATGGCAGCATCAACCTCCATCTTCGATCACTGTCCCCTGGTTCTGGCTTGCGCGGCTGCCCCTCCAAGGAAAGCAAAGTTTAGATACGAGCATTTCTGGCCAAAATTCCCACGATTTTAGGAAACAGTGCAGAGGGCCTGGCAAAGGCCGATTAATCACAGTTGCCCCTACGGCCGCCTCAAAATCAAAATGAAGAGGGTGGCAGCGGATCTCAAGGTGTGGAGCAAATCTCTCTTCACTAATGCACGCCTGAAATTGCACATTGCATCAGAAGTGGTACTCAGGTTGGACATGGCCAAAGAGAACAGGCAGCTCACCATACAGGAGTTCAGGCTTCGCAAGTTGCTTAAGCAGAGGATTCTTGGCTTCGCGGCCATTGAGCGAACAAGGAAGCGTCAGGCCTCTCGCATTACATGGCTGCGCACTGGAGACACGAGCAAAAAACTCTTTCATGCCAGGCTGATCTCCAGAAGATGGAAAAACTACGTGCATTCGCTGCACCAAGGGAATCACATCGCTTTGGCTCACGAGGATAAAGCACATCTCATCCATGAGCACTTCTCCGGGCTACTTGGAACAAGAAAGAATCGGTCCAACACCATCAAATTGGGCAATGCTCAATATTCCACAGGTCCAAGGGGACACCCTAGATTTGCCTTTCACTGAGGGAGAGGTGTGGAATGCCATCAAGGCCTCGGCTGTCGAGAAGTCACCAGGCCCGGACGGGTTTTCGGGAGGGTTTTTCATATCATGCTGGTCGATCATCAAAGAGGATGTTATGAGGGTTTTTGAGAAATTCTACCACCTAGACAGAACAAATGCAGAATCAATCAACACGGCTATGATCGCACTTC